TCTTCAAGATGTTCATGACATACGTCTATAGCAGACTCTGAGCCAGGCACCAATCGCTCAAAAATCATGGTATCCTGCAAATATAATAATCGGATAATCACTAACTTATGGAAGTTGCGGTTTTCTGATATTTTATAATACAAGAGATTTTGCAAAACAAAATGCAAAATAGAATTTTCTTCAAAAATTGTGGAAGATTATCGTCACTCACTGCTCCTTTAGTGTACAGTTTGATGACTCCCTGAGCATCGCGCACCACTACACTCATTCGTTTTCTATCACTGGTGAAATCTATAACGTCCAGCACGTCCAGGACCTCATCTTTGCCAAGCTTAAACAAAATACGAAATTTAGATTTAAAAAATTGCAAAGGCTATTATACCAATGTGATATCTGGATTTTAGGTCCAGAAAATCTTAACACAAACCGAACTAAAAAAAGGTTACACTCTGGAAGTCAAACCCTACGGACAATATTTAGCAGGAAACTTACAACAGAAAGGGTGACTTTTTTCGGCTGGCGAGTGTGAAACTCGAACCCAACCTTTGCTGCTCCACGTACAAGTGCACCCTCGTCAGGTGATGAGCACTGGTAGGAGATCTAAAAAAGAAGAAATATGAAACAGCAGCCAAAAGAAGACTAGAAACACAACTCGAGAGTAAAAACACACCTTTCCATCTTTCTTTTCAGGAACTACCGTATGGCAAATAGCCATCATCATTAATAACTCCCTTATAGCCATCCCATCCGGAGAAGCCTGAAAATGAACCCATTAAAATGATAGCACTTCTACATATCAAAAAAAAAGAATTATACTGGATCTTCCCGATAACGGTTTACTAGATCTTCATCTGCAAACTCGTCCCTTTCGTTGTCGCCAAACATCATTCCGGAAACTGAGACACGCTTAAATTTCATCACATTACGGGTCAGCGTTCCAGTCTTGTCGCTCATCACAAATTTGACCTGTAATCAGAATTATAAAAAGAAGTAAGTACTATACAAGTTTGAGGCCACATAGCGTACGATTTCAGGGAGTTACGACTAACTTGAGCCAGCTCTTAATAGCTTTAATATTATTTTTCATGACAAAATGATAGGATC